GCCAGCTCAGCAGAGGCCCCAGGTGGCTGCCACTGCTTGAGGGGCCACCAGTGGGAGCAGTGGAAGTGCCCAGCTGCATCCTACAGAACTGTAGGAGACTGTCACAGGCTTGCTGCTTTACACTATTGAGTTTGGGGTGATTTGTGACCACAGCGATAGATAACCAACACAGTGTGTCTTGAGGGGAAACTGGTAATAACTCGGGACTCCAGGTTTCTCTTCTACAGGACAAGGGGGACTCGTTTGTACTTAAAAGTGCAAAACACTCACCGGCCCTACCAAATAGGAATTTCTGGTGGCAGAACCCAGAAATCTGCATTTTAACTTGCTCCCCCAGAAAGTGAACCACCTTTTGAAAAGCTAGATTAGTTAATACCTAGGTGTCCCCTAACACTAAATTATAAATACCTCAGTTTGATTAGTCCAGTGGAGGCCTTCTGAGAGATACCTGACAGGGGACCAGACATGTCCAAAAGGAAGAAACCGCCAACATGGAATGAGTGGCAGTTTGGATGGCCTCCCAAAACCCAGTCTCAACCTGCCCCTTCTGCTTTCTCCCACAAATTCTCTTTCAGATGCACTTAGTTCTGTCATTCTTTGGCAGGCAGAGTAGCAAAGAGGTTTCTTCTGTGTGTCAGCTCTGCCTCGCCAACGGTCCGTGGCTTCGTGAAAGAGTGCTGGGATCCATTAGTAATGTCGGCCATGGACATAGGTTGAGGGGGTGGTAGCAGTAACTCTCTCTCACGCTTGCCAGTGCCACCCAACATCCTTCTCAATTGTATGACTTTTGCTTATTTTGTTCCCTCTTCTTCAAAAGCCTTATTCACATTTTAATTTTTTCCCCATTTTTTTAATGCACCTGGGCTCCTGTCTCCCCACGAAGCTGGCTCCTGATTTTCCCAGGCGAGAGTAAGGTCTTCCTCCCTTAAACCCCGGGACGCTTCATCAGGGCCTAAACTATGGTGTTTAGCACCTTCTCCCAGATACTCTCATTATTTGAGTCTCATCCTCTCTGTTGGTTTGGATTCCTCTCAAGAGGAAGTACCAGGTCAGTGTCCTCTTTCTGCAACGGGGTGTCCAGGTGGGCCCAAACCGGGAGCAGTTTGCCGAACTGGTGGCTACTGGGTCCTTTGGGTGTTTCTTAGCCTGAGCTGATAGGCAAAGGGTGCAGTTGGTGTGTTTTTCTAAGGGAGGAGGGTGTTTAGTGGCAGATATAGCTGTAGGATGGGCTGGGGTCATGTCTGGCCCCCTGCCCTCTTTGACCTTGAGTGGCTGCGGGGAGAGAGGTTGGAGCCTGAAGGTGAGAGGGACCTGTGTGACACTTTGGGCTCAAGCATTCCCGCTTTAGAATCTGAGTGCCTCAGTGTGGGTTAGGGAGACAGCCCCGAGCCCTCTCAGAAAGAATTCAGAGACCTTTGAGGTGGGGCTGCGGGTTTTTGAGCTGGGTCTGAAGGGAAGGCGGGAGAGCTTCTGGGGACTGCTGCTGCGCCTTCACATCCCCCGGAGCCCGGCCTGAGGGCTCCTACGTGCTCATCCCCATCTCCTCTGAGACAGCCCAGGACCTGGCACATAGTAGGCACTCAGGAAAAATTCGTGGGATCCGTACTCTGGGAGTGGTGGTGACAGTCAGGGGAGGAGGGAACGGGGTGTGTTCTAATCCCTAGGAGCCTCCCCTTAGCCCGAGACCCAGCCCCGAACCTGGGGGACCACAGTTCAAGTCTGGCAGGCTGTGCAGGGCTCTCCCTCTGCCTTTGGCACCCGTTTTCCAGCCCAGGTCCAAGGGCCGTACCAGGCCTTGTTGGGGAAGTTTGGGGAAGTTTTGACTGGAAAAGGGAGCGCCTCCAGTCTGCTGAGGGTCAAGTCCACAGACACCACGGGTCTCTCTCCTGCTCTGTGTCCTTGGCTTTTCTGTGTGAAACCTCAGCAGCTGCTGATAGAGGGGACAGGTCTCTCTCTGTGCCACCCAGCCTCTGTTGATGCTAGGACTCAGGCCAGAGAGGGAAAGGGATTTCCCTGGAGTCACACAGCGAGCCTGTGTCAGGGCTGGGACCAGAATTAGGGTCTCTGTAGCTCGGCCTTACTCCGGCATCTTTGTGTGTCTCCCGTGCTAGCCCATGGGGAGCCCGTTAGCACTGGTGAAACCACCCTGACAGGTCCCTCCTGAGCTTTCATCTCCACCTCTGCCCTGTTCCTCTCTCTCTCCGTCTCTCTCACCCTCTTGCTTCCTTGTCCTGCCGCCTCCCTCCATCTTGTCTTTGCCCCAGCTGATTAAAGCCCAGGTGCCCCAGGCTCCCGTTCAGACAGGCCCCCTGCCTAGCCAGCTCTCCTGTCTCTTCCTTCCTTTTATCCCTTTCACAAGACCGTACACAAACCCCACGTTGGCTTTGACCTGTTTGTGCTATTTATCTGACTCTGTTCTATGATCCTTGTTCTGGATTTCAAAACTTTTTCATTTCTCAGTTATTCAAAACAAAAGAAAGTCAAATAACTCCCCAAACCAGGGAACGTCCAATAAATACACCAAATAATCATCTCCTCTCGACAAGATTATCTGCAGGGCCTTTTGCTTAGCCATTGAGGGATGTTTTCTGGGGTTCCGGAGAGACCGCTCTCAGCCCCTGGGGAGGCTGCCCCCAGCCCTCCCTTGGATTAGAACCTGGGCCTGGAGCCTGGAGCCGGCTCCCTCCGGGCTCGGTGGGGCCTGAGAGACTCTCTACACTTGTCACCTGTTGTGGGTCTCGTTCAGAAGCCACATTCTCCCTTGGGGTCCTCTTCTCTGCCCCCAGCAGCCGGCTAGGGACCGCCTGAAGGGGAACCTGGTTGTACAAGCTGGCCCCCGGCTACCTTGTCCTGTTCTGCACGCTCCTCCAAGCTCCAACTCCGCTCACGCTTGTCACACCCTTGCTGTGCACCAGCGACTGTGTTAGGCACTTTCCAATCCCTTATTTCTTTTATTCCTCACGTTATACTTTTATTTGCACAGCACTGCTTGGAGAGTCCTGTACCTGGCAGAGGTAAGTGATATTACGTTCATTTTACAGAGGGAAACTCAGGTCCTGAAAACCTAGGTGGCTTGTCCAGGGTCGTCGCTTTTAGGTAGAAGAGAGTAAATTTAAAACCAGGCCTTTTAAAGCCAAGTTCGGGACTCTTTCCTCTAGACCACACTGCACAAACCACGATGAATACTATTTTACATTTATCTAGTAATTTCCCCCTTGTGGCACTTCTCACACTGGGCCATAAGTACCCTATTGGCACCATTAATGATACAGATAAATACAGTAATAGCATAGTATGAGCTATGATGGGGAAATGCCCAGAGGGAAGTTGGAGCATGGAGGAGGGAGCAACTGTCTGCCTGGAGGAGCTGAGGAAGGCTTCCTGGAGGAGGTGACATTTGAGGTGGCTCTTGAAAGTGGAGCAGGGCATTCACCGCAGGGAGGAGGGGGGCTGCTCCTGGTACAGGAGTATGTTCTGGTTGGTGTGGCCGGCTCCTGGCGTTGGAGATGGAAGGCAGAAGAAGAAGGTTGGGGCCAGATCGTGTTGGGGCTTGAAAGCCATGGGGAGGAGTTAAAGTTTATTGGGCAGGGGAGGTATCCCACCGAGGGATGACAACATAGGGGCTGTGCTTCTGAGCAAGCCGAGAGCCACACTGTCTAGTCCAGTGGCCACGACTCAAAGCTCAAAGCACTTGACCTATGACCAGGGCAACAGAAGAATTCTAAATCTTGTTTAATTTTAATTCAAATGTAAAAGATGATACTTCATTCTGAGATGGGAAAGCTTTTAAAAAATATTTGGTACGATTTGGGCCTGTGACTCGATTTCAACTGTACATTTTATGAGATCTTAAGACAGAACAAGGATTTCTGATCCATGTGGAGGCTGAACTGACAGACAGCCTAAGTGTAAGCTACACGCTGGATTTCAAACATGAAAACAGACTGTAATAGTGCACGATAATTGTTTTTTATCAGTTACGTGCTGAAATGATACTATTTTGGAAATATTGGGTTAAATCAAAAAATACCACAAAAATTAATTTCACCTGTTTGTTTTTCCTCTTTAAAATTGTGGCTGCTTAGAGAATGTACAATGACATCAGGTGATTGTATAATGGGTCGCATTGTATTTCTACTGGTAAGGGCTGATCTGTGATTCTGACGCATTTAGTAGGACCCAGGGAGCCCCAAGCACCTGCCCTTTTAACAGCCCTTCCAGTGACTCTGATGCTAGGGGTGGGCACCCTGCTTCCAGGAATTCTGCTGAAAGATCCCTGTGGCTACTGGGCGGAGGTTGGAGTGAGGGTGTGGGCCTGGAGGCGGCCAGGCTGCTAGTGGCATCCAGACGAGGAAGGAGGCTGACTCAGGCACCGGCCATGGGGGAGACGCCCCAAAAGCTGGGTAACTGTCCTCCGAGCGCTGCCTTTCGGGAGCCCGGTACCCTCCGAGAGGCCTCTGCCCTGGCCTGGCAGCAGGACCTGGGGTCAAGTGGGGAGCTGGCATGAGCGCCGGGCATGGCCCCCACACCATGGGCAGTGGACACGGGGCAGTGCTCTGGGGGAATTAATGCGTACTGGAAGCCACTCTCTGGGGATTAACCCCGCACCCACCGCGAAGACCGCAGAAATAACCCCTGGCACAGAAAAGAGCCCAAGTTGGCCACCCATTGGTCTTCATCGTGGGACGAGGGCCAGGAGCTAATGGGAAGAGCCGCGGAGTCGTCCGGAGGCACTTGCCTCTGTGAGTCGCTCCCCACCCCACACCTGCGTCATGTATGTCCGGCTGAGGTTTTGCTCTTGTTTAGGCTAAACGTTCTTTGGGGGTGTACATGCTGGCTTTTGAGGGAGGATTTGGAGCAGACCAAGGAACAAGGCCTCTCGTCGGGGAAGCCGGTCGTGGTTGTGCATGGATCAGAGCCCTCCCCGGTCCTGTGCCCAGACACTCTGCAGACCCAACACCCTCCGGGCAGCGGTGCCCAGGCAGGCCCACTGAGCCTACCTTCACTATGTCCTCGTTAATGTTCTTGGGGTCTCGGTTCACCAGGTCGATCTCCTTGCAGTGGATGTCCTTGACAATCTGGGCCTCCAGGTCTGTGTGCTCTTCAGCCATCATCGTGGAGCTGGGGGACCGCGGGAGGAGATCTGAGCCGTGTGGCCACTGGGGCTGAAAAGACTTGGGGCAGGGACACAGTTCAGTGTCCCCAGACTTGTGCCCCTGCCGGCTAAGCAGGCCCCACCCAGCATGCCCTCTGACAGCTGTCCCACATAACTTCAGCCTGTCTCTCGCTAACGCCTCTGTGGCAGGGCTCCAAGCTAAAATTAAGACTGGAGCTCTGCTGGAAGGCCCAGCGCTCCTTACAGGGGCCTCACCCGAGCGAGAGCAGAGGCTTTGGCATCTGTGGGCCACGGGGTGGCTGGGCTGTTGGTGCAGGCCCTGGGATTCGCCCCCTGCCATCAGCATGCGGGCAGCTCTGGGAGGGGAGGAGGGGTTGGCCTGCAGCTCGGCCTCTTGCGGGCCTGGGAGCTTTGGCACACCTCGCCTCTCCGCCCGCCATGCTCCCACCTGGAGAATGGGGCCGCGCTAAAAACAATCAGGGGCTCTGCCTGCCCTCCCGGAGAGGAGGAGATGAGCTGGCATGTGGGAAGGGGCTTTGGGAACTGAAATGCTGTCTGGTAGGGGTTCTCACTGGAGTCGTTAGTACCTGGCCTTGCCGTTTGGTGGCCTGAAGCAAGGCTGAATCTTTCCCACTTCTGGGGTTTCCCCTGGAGGGGAGTTGATGGACTGTGGGGGGAGACAGAGAAGCAGACCACTGATGGGGCTGCCCACCCTCCCGTGCCTTCTTGATGCCACGTGGAGGGGACATGAATTCCACGTTTATGCTGCCCTTTGCTCTGCCCCTAGTGACAGTTCCCGGGGTGCCCCTGGGCCCCAGACGCTGCACGGGCGTCAGTGGGATGTTCCTCTCCAAGGTGTCTGCTCAGTTTTCCTGGGTCCTCAGGCATCACTCAAGGCCTCCACACCCTGAAGGATGAAGACTTTGAGTCCCCAGGTGCCAGGGTCTGTGCATCCATTCACCCATCATCCCACTCATTCATTCAGGATTTGCTAACAGCTGGGGACAAACAGACCAATCAGGCTCTGTTCCTGCCTGGAGGATCTCATAGTCTTTGGGGACAGATGGATTAAAAAATCAGTAATTATGATAGGGTGTGGCAAGTGCTATAGCTCAGAGATATTTTACAAACAACTTACCTTAAGAGGTCCACAGGGGCTCTGACAGCTTATTCTGAGGGCATCAAGGAAGGCTTCCTAGAGGAGGTGGCTTTAGAGTTAGGTGTTGAAGGGCAAGCAGGAGTTCACTACCTAGAATATTTCAGGTGAAAAGACCATAGGTATCAGAGGACTGGTGTGAACTACGATGCTGAGAAGTGTGCAGTGGCCAGGGCCTGGTTGTCTGGTGGGGGTGAGGCAGGACATGAGGCTCAGCTTGGGCCTGGGTGGGAAGGATCCCAAATGTCATACTAAGTCGTATGGATTTTTTTTTAAAGATTTTATTTATGAGAGAGAGAGCATGAGGGGGGGGGGGGGAGCAGGGGCACAGGGAGAGGGAGAAGCAGGTTCCCCACTGAGCAGGGACAGCCTGACTTGGGGCTCCATCCCAGGACCCTGAGATCATGACCTGAGCCAAAGGCAGATGCTTAACCATCTGCTTAACTGACTGAGCCACCCAGGCTCCCCCTAAAGAGTATGGATTTTACAGAGGTATTGGGAAGCCCTTGAAGACTTCAGTGAAGCAGAGGGTCTATTGGAATAATGTGTGAGGATGATCACTGGTGGTTAGAGCTGGGTGAGTCTGAGGCAGGAAGACAGTCAAAAAGCTCAAGGCAAAAAGCTGGGCTCTGTCAGTAATTGCACTTGGCTACTATCTAATAGAATTCAAAATACTTGTGGCTGGTGCAAGGTAGGGGCTACCTACCCCCCCGGCCCCACCCCGCATATAATACAAATAGTTCAGAACTACTGTGGGAGCTCTATTATGTCATCAGCCTCCCAGACCTCCATCTTTCTGTTCTGCTGTTCTTATAGCCACCTCATAGGCACAAGGTAGCTGCCGCTCTTCCAGCCATCAGATGAAAGAGGAAAAGGGGGCAAGGGTGTATCAGGAAAAGGCATCTGCCAGCTAAGTCAGCTCCAATAGAAAACTTTCCCAGAAGTCCCACTTGACAAGTTTTGTTTGTCGTTGGCCATCCCTCTTGGCCAACGAGGCCAGGAAATGCAGATAGCCCCCATAGTGTCACCAGGGATAAATGGTAGGCAACTAGCAAACTCTATTGCTAGCTCTCTTAGGAATTACCTGTTTGTTTTTTCCTTCACCCCCCTGCCTGGGCCCCCAGGTCGTGGGAATATGGACCTTCTCCTGTGAAGAGTTGAGACGAAGGAAATGTTGCTGCCTGTGTTCACGTGGGATATGGCAGGGATCTGAGCCTGAGCTTGAGTTTTGTCCGCTGCAGGACCAGATGTGTCTGGTCAAAAGCCGGGGCAGCTGGGGCAGTAGTCATTCACAAGGGTTGGAGGAGGAGCTGCCTGGAGGAGGCTCATCGTAAAGGACAAGTGGTGGTAACAGATAATAGTAATGACTTTGGATGACTGTGTTTTTCCAAGATGGCCACATTTGTGCCCTTACGGGAGGACTGACTCTCTTCCACTAAACGGGGTCTGTGCCCTTCCCCTTTAATCTGGGTGGGGGGTTAGATTATTCTGACCTAGAGAGCATGGCAGCACTGATGCTCTGTGACTTTTGGGCCAGGCCATAGGAAGGATACAGCTGCCTGGCTCTCGCCTCTCAGGACTCCTGCCCTTGGAAATCAGCTGGGGGCTGAGGAAGCCCAAAGGAGCCCACGTGGAGAGACCACGTGCAGAAGGGTCCAGGGCCCCCGACTGGCCCGTGACACCAGCTGCCCGACGGGAGAGTGAGTGAGGCTTTGGACGAGGCCAATCCCTGGGCTTCATATCACCCCTAAACCCCCGCGCCTTCCGGCTGAAGCCCGGACGTTGTGGGACAGACACGCTGCTCTGCGTCCTGTCTCAATATCTAAACCACAGAGGCCACGAACATCCCTTTTTGATGCCACTGAGTTTGAGGGTAGCTAGTTTACAGTCACAGGAACTAGCACAGTGAGTGCTCACTGCAGGAACAGCAGCTGCTTTGTTGAGGTTCACCATGCGCTGGTGCCTTGTGAAGGGACCCTCGGTGTGCCTGAGTGGTCCCCTTGGTCCTGTGAAAGGGGGGCCGCCTCCAGATGGCAGTCGATGCTGAGGAGGTTGTGGGGCAGCTAATACGCATTTTGGGTGTCGGAGGAAGAAGATGCTGTGGCCTGAAGTGACCTGGGAGAAATCTCTGCCGGCGGGTGGCACTGCAGTGGGACCAGAAGGCTGAGTAGAATTAGAGAGGCAGGGTGGGAAGAGCCAGATGCCAGAGGCGGAAAAAGAGCTGTCTCTCATTTCATTCTGACGATCCTATTTCCAAAGGCGATGTAGTGGGAAGAGACTTTAACTCAGGAACTGTTAGGAACTCAGGCCTGAGGTCTTCTCCTGGCCCCATCACTAACTGGTTTCGTGACCTCGTGTCAGCTCTTGACCTTCCCTGTGCCCACCTGTCCAATGTGGATGGCGATCCTCACCCGAGACTCTGTGCTTCACACACAGGGACAACACTAACAGGGCACCCGCGGGCCCATATACCCTCAGAGGAGACATTACGAAGCATTACAAAGAACATACTGGAAGATGAAGCTTTTGAGTCAGCCCTGGGGCGAAGCTCCTGACATGGGAGCACAGTAAAGGAGGCAGAGTGACTTTCCGAAGCCCATTTTGTGCCTGCAGTTTTGTGGAGGACGCTGCGTTCTTATTTTAAAGCCATTTTGTTGTTGTTGTTCGGCTTGCTCAGTGAGAGAGGGAAAAATCTTTGAAAATGGGCCATGCAGGAAGACATAAATCTGTGGAGTGTGAAAAGGGGAAGTAATAGGAAAGATGACATAGACCGACTCACCAGGAGAGTCATAGCATTACGGTCTGAAGACTCAATTAACTGTCAGATTGAAGGCTGCATTAACCAGCAAGATTTATCACTTATGCAGAAGTCTCCAAAAGAGGTAAGGCGAGGATGCATAGAGAAGGAAATCTTTTTGTTTTTTGTTGGAGTTTTAGATCTAGGCAGAGGGCCTCTATTTTCTGTTTGCTACTTGGCTTTTGGAGTCTGCATTTAGAAGACACATCACAGCATTCCAGAGCTGGAAGAGACTCTGTTTCTGCATTTTACAGATGAAGAGTGTTGGTTGCTGGAGGGGAGAGCTAAGGATTTGGAGACATAAGAAGAACTGGGAGTGATTGACCATCTGCCAATCAGCAGGCCACTCCCCTCCAAGCTTCAGTTTACTCCTCTATATAATGAGGATAAGGACACCATGCCCTCTTACCGGATTTTGGTATCTGATTCCTGCCAGAGATTTTGGAGGTTTTTAGAATGTTTTCCAAAAAGGGCAATGCAATCTCAGGATGCATTAATAAAGATATACCATCCAGAATGATGGAGGTGACTTATCTACTCAACTCTGCACTGGTCAGACCCTAGTGGGAGCCTGGTACATAGTGGGAGCCTTGGGCTCCATGCTCCAAGAGAGGTTTTGGGAAACTAGATCCTGTCTAGATAGGGTAAATAAGATGGTGCAAGAGCTAGAAGCATGTCTTATGAGAAACAGAACAATGTCAGTTTGAAGGAGAGAAGACTGAAGGGGAAAAACAGAAGAATCTTACTCAAATCCGTGAAAGCTTAAGGGATGAGATTTATTCTGAGTGGTCCCAAGGACTGGTGAGTAAGTGGCAGACTTTGGCTTCATTCAACCCAGTGCCCAGCTCTTGATAATGGTCGATTATAGGATTACTGTCAAGGGTACCAGGAAGAACTGATTCTCAGTTGTCCAGAAGTCTACTAGGCTGCTTCAGAAAGGAGTGAGCTTCCCAAGGCTGGAATTGTTCAGGCAGAGGGTGAAAGGGAGTCAAGGGTTGGAAAAGTACAGGGAAAAGTAGGCAAACTTTGGGGCCAGATAGTAAATATTCTAGGCAGGAACAGCTACATAATTTGCAGGACCCATTGAAAAAGAAAAATGTGGGGCCCCTTGCTAAAAATAATTACGAATTTCAAGA